GAGCTGCCCCTGGTACTGAAACCCACTGCTTTCCTGGGACTCTCCTCCATTGTCTTACCCAGACTGTTTACATTTCCTAGAAAAGCTGATGACAATTTGGGGCAAGTTGACTTTTTAGGGGGACCATATTTGTACAAATCACTGTTCCTACTATGTAATCTGACATGGCCCGGCAATGGGACAGGGTACTAGAAATCCCCAGAAGGCTTTCTAAACCACTCACAGTAAATGTCCTTCCTCTTCCAGAGGTAAAGATTTTAGAGGAACGTTCCTTCTTTCTTTCCATTCCAGTCAGCTCAGGGTAGCCAAATGTCCTCCCTCCTTTTCACAGTCTCTTAGTCTTGACTCTGCCATCCTCCCCCAAGATTCCATTTCTCAACACCTGAGCGGCTGTGCTCTTTCTTCATCCCCTCCCATCGATTTGCATCTGGGTTTTCCCCTCCTTCACACTTCTCAGTTCGTTTCGTTCTCACCTTTCTACTCTTTCCTTGACTAAGGGGCTCACTGAAGGGTAGAAGCCCAGAAGAGAGATGAGGAGGTTCTAGGACTAGGCCGTTACAGGATGGACCTGCAAGTCAGGAGGTGAAGTCTGGGATTCATTTTTCTGTTGCAGCCTTCTCCTGTGCTCAAGTTACCTGCCATTATGTTTTCTGGCTTGTTTAAACTTGCTTCTTGGACTGAGCTTTCCACTGCCTTGCTTTTGGCCTTCCCCTTCTCTTTCACACATACCATCCCACAACCAGAGGGGACATTATACGTTTGACAATAGGGCTACTCTGTGGCAGGTTAGGAGGGAGGGGAGCATGTCAGTGAGGCCACAGGGAAATGCCATGTTCTCTGAAACTCAAGGGACTAGAATTAAGTTAATTTTATAATACCACAGACAAGAAGCCTTTGGCCTTCAAGAAGAAAGTCACTGTGTAAATACCAGTTGTTGTTGTTGCCCCTTTTTATTCTGTCCTCTTCATATAATAGCCTGTCTACAGAATTAGACACTTTCTTTCTCCTGGCTTGTGGTGATCGCTCTGCTTAGCTGGTTATAGTCTCTATGGTAGAAATGTCCATCAATTTGCTGCTCTGTGTACTCCCCCTTCTCAGAGACACTTCTGTGGACCTCAGGCTCTGCCTAGAGAGCAGTGGGCCATGTGACCCTAAGGGCTGCAGCTGACTTGACACAGGCATGCCTTTGACTCAGGGGTGGCCCATCACCACCTGGCCAATGAGCAAGCATATTCTCTCTCTTTAAAATTTAATCTGGAACAGAATGAAACTAGTGAGATGGACATGGCAATAAAGCTGAGAGATTATGTAGATATGGGACTGGCAACAGCCACTCTTGGTCAAGTGCCTTCTGATGACTAAGAGAGAAAGTTACTCTGTAGAAAGCAGTGTGAAGATGGAACTCTTTCATCAAGGGAAGTAGAAATGAGAAACCACATGGCCCCAGAGAAAGACATGGAGAGAGTATTATCTTGAAATCTGGCTCTGCTTCCTTGCTGTGGGCCCACAGAATTCCCCTGTACACAATTCACCCCTTTCAGTGTGAGCTAACTTCAGTCGGCTTCTGTTCCGTGAACTGAGTGATGTGTGACTCAAACAGGCCTACAGGACCTTGTCTTTTTTGAAAGCAGATGAGTAATAGGATTTAATGAAGACTTACTGTGTGCTCTGTCTCGGCTCATGGTAGATATTCGATATATTATATTTTGAAAATCTGCTCCTCCCAGGAATCCTATGCAGCTGATATATTTCCCTCACGTATACACGAGGGAATTGAGGCCCAGAATGGTAAAATAACTTGTCCAGGGTCAAACAGCTAGAGAAAAAAGAATTGGAACTCCAACCAGGCCTGGCTGACTCCAAAGCTAACATCTTCCCACAATATTGCCCTGTCTTCTGCCCCTTAAGACCCGGCAGCAGCTCTCCCTTATCCGCTGTCTGAACAGGGAGAAGGTCAGGAAGGAAGTAGGCTGCAAGAAGAGCCCCTGCTGCTTCCCTGAGTCTGGGTGATATACTCTCCTGCTCCCTGTTGTTTCCTGTTTCCTCAGCCCTTCTGCAGGCATTTTGAGGGCAGGACCCCTCCTTGGGAGTATTGTCACGAAGGAGAAGGATGGTCTGTGAGCGAGCCGGGGTCTGGCTGGGGTCTGCTGTTGGAGAAGGCAGTGGTACCCATTTTGCTAGCTGGTCCAGGGCACAGTGTGGAAGACTTGTCTCCTCCACACTGCAGCAAAATCCTGAAGTGGCTTGGCGGAGTGAAAAGAAAGCTGAGTTCTAAACCTGCCTCTGCCATGACCTTGGGGTAGCAAACACTGGGCCTCTGTTTCCTCATTTGTAAAATACAGGAGAACTAGATGAGGTCAGTGTTTCCCAAAGTGGAACTTTTAACACTCACGGGCCAGAACGATTCTAGTGCATGGAAACAGCCTTAAATAGCCCTGATTCACGGCATCCAAACCCTATTCCCGTTTCAGTCCTCCTTTCCTTCTCCTAATTAAGGCAAAGAGAAAGTCTCAGATTCGTTGTTGGCTCGTTTTAAATTACCTTCTATTACTTGGTAATTTTCCTTCAAGATTTTTAGAAAGTTTCCAGGAGAGTAGATTTTAAAGGTTCTCACCACAAACAAAAAATTGGAATTACGTGAGGTGATGGATGTGTTAACCAGCTTTGTGGTAATCATTTTGCAATATGCACATTTATAAAATCACTATGTTGTGCACCTTAAACTCATACATTGTTATATGTCAATTATTTCTCGATAAAGCTGGAAAAATAAATAAATAATAAAACTTTTCAATTTGTTTGCATTTTATTTATTTTTACCATTACCTTCTATTCATAGCAAGTGATGTTGGTTTTTCATTATTTTGGTAATGTTACATTTCCTTTTGAAATGTTTATTTAAGTAAAAAGTAGAGTTGTACCAATGATAGTTACCATTCATTGAGGGGCCACTATGTGCCATGTACTTCACATGTGTTATTTCTAATTTTCCCAGTACATCTAAGAGAAGGATCATTATCTCTGTTTTACAGCTGAAGCGACTGAGGAGCAAGGAGGCTGAGTAAGATGCAAGAAGTCAGATGTCTAGTAGGTGACAATAAGGATTTGAAACAAATTTGTCTGGTTCTGAAGTCTGTGTTCTTTCCACTGCCCCACCCTGCTTCCTCTCCAGTGGAATCTAACATCTGGACCCACAGTCAGGAAATAGCTCCAAGTTGGCCACTCCAGCAGCCTTTGTGCAGACTTTCACTGCTGTGGCCTCTCTGCTGCATTGGATGCTCTCTCCTTCCTGAATTCCTCTCCCCTTTGCCTTTATCCAACTTCTCTCCCCTTCGTCATCATGCCTTCTGTCTCATTTCCGGCCCCTCGTCTCCCTATGCATTTTATCTTTTGTCTTTCATTTTTGCTCTAGACCGTTGAAAAGCAACTTCTGCCTCAATTAGATTTGAGTTACAGCACTACGTCTACTTTTACAAGTAAAGTAAGCACTGCTACTGGCTGCATTTTATCAGTGAGGGCTCCGAGGCTCAGAGGAGGACTATAATTCACCCAGGTAAGTAAGATGAGTAGCTGATGTGAAGACATGAACCCAGACACTCAGGCTCGGAGCAAGATGGAAAAGGACTTGGAGCTCCAGTGGCTCGGGAGCATGTGTGCACGCATGTGTGTGCATGTGTGTATGTGTGTGGGGTCTGTGGTACTTTTTCTATAGGGGTCAAACATAGGGATGGGAAGGGCATGGGATTGGGAATTGGAGGGGAAAGAGAAGAAAAGACAAGTCTAACATAAGAAAAGAGCAGCCTTGAAGACACGGTGGTAGGCTGCGTCCAAGGAGAGAAAATGTCAGTACGGGACTCACAGGGAGAGGGGAGAGCCAAAGGCCTTTAGAAAGTCAGTAAATTACACTGAGTTGCAAGCTTTCTTTTTCTGTCTCGTAACTCCCTTCTGATAATCTTCATGCTGTAACCAAGTAGAGGTAACTTGGGGAAGTGCCCGCTCTGGGTTAGGGCAGCAAAGAGCTGCTGGGCTCTCAGCACAGTTCCTCCCAGAGGCCAGAGTGGTGGGCACTGCTGGTCTAGAAGCCAGAGTGCCCAGTAGCCAAGTGTGGGTCTTTGGTAAAGAGCAAGGAGCCAAGCAACAAGGAGAAATAGTACAGAGTAGACTGAAGGAGAGGAGGTCCTGAGGTCAAGTCTCTTTTCTCGAAATTTAACAGAAATAGCAGGGGCCAGCCCTGGCGGCCAAGCGGTTAAGTTTGCACACTCTGCTTTGGGGGCCTAGGGTTTCACTGGTTCGGATCCTGGGCATGGACCTAGCACCGCTCATCAAGCTGTGCTGAGACGGCCTCCCACGTACCAGAACTAGAAAGACCTACAACTAGAATATACAATTATGTACAGGGGGTCTGGGCCAGTGGCTTTGGGGAGAAGAAGGAAAAAAAAAAAGATTGGCAACCAATGTTAGCTCAAGGTCAATCTTTAAAAAAAAAATATCAGAAGTAGCAGCCTCCGGTAAGGAGGGGAAACAGGACACTGCTGTCCACTGATAGTGGCAATCGGGGAGGTCTTCCGTGCCATTCTATGCCATTGCTAATGACACAAACGCAGAAGTTATAAATAAGGATTTGCCTTGGAATCAAGCCACACTCCACTTCACCTTTCCAAGGTCTAATTGGAGAGGACAGATTCCCCTCAATGTTTGAGTGAGTTCATCCACATGGCACAGTGGGAGAGTTTTTGGAGTCAAAATCATCTCAGATGGAACTGCTGACACCACGTTTAACTTCTTTGGATCTTACTTTCTCTATTTGTAAAATGAAAATGTTGACCTCACACCGTCACTGTGAAATGCCGGGATAACAATGGATGGCAGCTGGCACGGGGCTTGTGCCTAGCAGGGGCTCAGAGTGTCTCCTCACTTGTTCCCTTGGCCCCTGACTCCTAAACCATCCCCAGACTAGGTCCCAATGCCACGGGGATGACCCTTGGGAGGTCAGATCCTACCTTTGGTTAGGGAGTGAATCCCGAGCTTGACTTGGGAAAAGTTCCCACTTCCGATTTCCCCTCGGATTCGGTAGAAGCCAATCCGTTTCCCCAGTGTGATCTCTCTCACCACCTTCTCATCTTGGGACATGTCCTGTGTCATCTTCTCGAAGGGTGTCAGCTGGCGAGGCTGTCCCTCCTCATCCTCCTTGCTGCACTCTGTCTGACAGCCACTCTCCACGCTCTCCCGCCGATCCCATCTGGCATAATGGGGGTTCAGCAGGCTGCCTCCATTCACATACACTGCAGTCATCGTCCACACGGGCTCACGTCTCCATCTCAGCAAAGGGGCACCGATCAAGGGCAGGTTGGGGAGGAGCGGAAGAGGCTGGTGGGTGGGAGATAGGAGTTAAGGACTGCCAGAGCCCTGTGTCCGTGAGAGCTGGCCTGCAGAGCTGGGCAAAGACTCCTTGGTGAGCAACTCCCTTCTTGGCTTCAATCAGAGGAGGGCAGAGGCAAAGGGGCCAGCAGAGTGAACCGAGCCAAGCCAAAAGCTGCCCACCTCACTGGAGACATTTCACAGCTTCCTTCATGTTGAACTTCCCAGCTCCCACTATACAATCAGACACACATGCATTTCCCACAGCCACTTCCCTGAGCAGGCTCCAGGAACTCTCTGGCTGGCCGTGCAGCCTGATGCTCCGTGGTAGGCGGCTGTGTCCCAGAACAAAGGGTCGGGTTTGCTATTTCCTTTGATGGCCAGAGAATCTTTCTCTCTGGTATGTAAAAGCCCCAAGGAGGCCCCCAGGTCCCTGCTGCTGGTGCTCATCTCGGCCTTTCTTCATTTTGCACTTCTCCTGCTGTCAAATTGCAGGGCCCCAGAGACCTAATAATCTGGACTGCAGGAAAGCAGAAACTTGCAAATCAGCCTTCTGGTCACATGGGAAGTCAGAGAAGGATTAAATCCTTGCAATGTCACTTTAGCCGACCTTTATTTAGATGAGCCTTCTTCTAAGCTGTGAGCTGTCTCAAAAATTGGGCAGGTGCTGGGTCATTCCTAAGCACAGACAGTAAGAAAGTTTATTAGCTCATCTAATGTACTGTACAGGATTTACAATGAACGTGAAACTGCTTTATAAGCATTCATCTAAAAGCATTATGTAATTTAAGTTATGACTCATCTCAGTCGTAGATGCCTGTTTATATATGATTTAGTAAGAAGAAAATGTACACTCACACTCCTCAATCTACATTTTAGAAAAGCTCTCACATCCTGTAAATATTTCTAGCAAAACAATCTTTCTATTTCTTGATGTTTGGGAAAATACGCATGTTGCCTTGGGTTGCTTTAAAGCCAGATTTTTTGAATAATATGATAGTAATGATTATAAAGATTTCAGTTTTCAAAAGTTCTTACATTGATTCAAATAACACCGTGTTCTGTTTCTTTACCCTGCGTGTTCTCGTACAGCTGTTTCTATACTGGTTGCTCCCACATCTTCTTTCTATGTCATTCTGTGACAAAGGCTAATTTTTCTCCTAAGCTTATTTTGGTATTTCTGATCAAGTGTCCAGTCTGATCAGTATCCAGGCCCAGCAGCTTAGTTTGAGGGTACAGAAAGAGAGGGTAACGTTACTGGAGGGTAAAGTCTGTGGCATCCTCAGTGATAAGAAATAGCGCCCAGCCATAATGTCTTCATGACTTTTTTCCTGCACCCTCCAGTAAGAAATAATCACTTCTTCTCTGAATCCCCACAGCACTCTGTGCTTTTCCAAAATGTCTCATCCCTGTGAAGGTGGGGACTGCGTTTGGTTCATCCGTCTGTCCTGCTCCTCTCCTTTCTCCCTCAGCACGGACTGGATCACAGACCAACATCTGAAAATTAAATTTCTTGCACAATGGCCTTGAACCAGTTGTCTTGCCCTAATGGCCAGGGAGACAGTTAATCGTCTGTTCAGTTCAGATCAAGACGTTTTTACAGCTTTGCAAATGTTGCTGTGGGTTTGTATTGAGGATGAATTCCGACTTATCAGGACGTCAAGCAAGCCAACTGGAAAGAAAAATTGAACCCCTACTGTACACCTACTCAAAATAAATTTCAAATAGATCAACTAAGTAAATGTAAACTAAATTAAAACATAAAATAGTAGAAAAAGTCAGACATTTTTTCATCATCTCAGGGAAAGCCATAAAAGAAAACATTAAATTTGACTACGTAAAATTATAACTTTCTGTTTGCCATAAAGTATCATAAACAAACAAAGCAAATTAAATGATAAAATAGTAGGGAAAGCTTTTCAACATATCTGATAGACGAAGTGCTAATTTTCTAAATAAAGGAAGAATTTTTACAAACTGATATGAAAAATACCAACAACCCGAGAGAAAAATGATAAAGAACATGAGAGGACGTTTCACAGAAAATATAAATGGCTCTGTAATATAGAAAAAGACGCTCCTCACTCACAGCCAAAGACATACACAGCAAAACTGCACTATAATCCGATTTTTTACACATTGTATGTGGAAACTACAAAAAAAATTGATAATGCGCTAGTGAGAGAGGGTTTAGAGAAACAGGAACTCTCATTCATTGTTACCGAGGGTAGAAACTGGTACAGTCATTTGGAGGGCAGTTTTGACTATAGCTGTTAAAGGACAAGTGTACAGATTTGCCTCAGCAATTCCACTTGTCGAATTTGTCTAACATACACATTCACAAAGATATATCTATTTCTAATACAAAAATGGATAGATACATATTCACTGCTGCATTGTTTTGAGGCAGAGAACTAGAAATGGTTCAAATGCCCATCAGTAGGGGACTGGTTAAATAAATTACAGTACATATACATAATGGATTACTATGCACTTGTGAAAATGAATGTTACAATATCCAAATATACTGTTAAGAGGTCAGAGGAGCACATCTGATGTGACATCAGATATATAAGAAAGAGGAAGGAGGGCCAGCCTGGTGGCGCAGCCGTTAAGTTCACTTGTTCCGCTACTCGGTGGCCCAGGGTTCGCCGGTTCGGTGTGGACACGGTACCACTTGGCAAAAAGCCATGTTGTGGTAGGCATCCCACGTTTAAAGTAGAGGCAGATGGGCAAGATGTTAGCTCAGGGCTTCCTCAGCAAAAAGAGGAGGATTGGCAGTAGTTAGCTCAGGGCTAATCTTCCTCAAAAAAAAAAAAGAAAGAAAGAAAAAGGAAAAGAAAAAGAGGAAGGAATGCCTAAGAAACTGGCAATAGTTAGGGCATCTGGCGAGGGGCACTGTTTGCCTCGGAATTGGAGTGAGAGAAAGGTGTACTTTTCACTATTTAACCTTTTATATGATCTGCATTTTTTTTCCACATGCATATATTTGCCTTAAAAACCCCAAAACATATAATGTGTTGCCACCTTACACAATTGGTGTGCAATGTTTGCTTTATTTTTGATTATATAGAGAAATTGCTGCACCAGATTCTCAAATATCTAATGGATTGCTCTTAAAATCAAAAGCTTAGGGGCTGGCCCTGTGGCCTAGTGGTTAAGTTCGCACGCTCCGCTGCAGGCGGCCCAGTGTTTCGTTGGTTCGAATCCTGGGTGCGGACATGGCACTGCTCATCAAACTACGCTGAGGCAGCGTCCCACATGCCACAACTAGAAGGACCCACAACGAAGAATATACAACTATGTACCGGGGGGCTTTGGGGAGAAAAAGGAAAAGAATAAAATCTAAATTGCTATTTTAAAAAAATAAATAAAATCAAAAGCTAATTAGGGACTCTGGTTAAATACTGATAAATTTCATGTATCGCTCCTTCCTTCCAAAAATCCACACTAGGACTAGGAGGGGAAAAGGTATAAACTCACAAGGACAAAGAGCATAAGAGAAGAGATAGCAGCAAATGCAAGACGCCAACACATTTTTGGGGGAGACAGAAAGCAAATTGAGGAGTGGTGAGTGACTTGGCAAGGACTGTGAAGAAAACGGCAACCTGAATCCCACATAAGGGCAGGCCAGTGAGATTCAGCTTTCTGAACACTCCAAAGACTTCAAACTATGAGAGACAAAGTACCTCAAAGTTTGGAGGAATGGAGCAGACCAAACACAAGGGAATTTTTGAATGTGGAGTGCAGACCTTTCCCTCCTCAAAGCCAGGTAGGTTGCTACTCTCTGCCACTCCCAGCCCAGCTCAGGAATGCAGGGCACAGGACAGCCGATTAGGTCAGACTCTGGGTTATGGGAAACCCTGATCCCTTCTTCTCCCTGCACTCCTGCACTCTGAGTTTCCAGAATGGAGGGAAACAAACATAATCTTCCAGGCAGGGCATTCCTCCTTTGGATAAATTCAGGACTTCAAGAGCAAAGACCTCCTGAAGCTGACATGTGGAGGATTTCCAGCACAAAAGCTTCCTGACCACCCACCGTGCAATCCTCCACGTGCCAGGCTCACTCACAGGCACGGAGCTTTCAGTCAGATTTCAGTGCCTTCTGCTTAGAATGAACGTCCAGGCAAGAAGCACCAGGCACCTGAGCAGAGGCTCCACAATGAAAGAAAGAAACCATATTCAAGCCAAACAATGACAACCAAAAGGAATTTGCAGGAAACAGAGAGCAGTTCAGGAAGCAGGAGACAAAAAAATTACTGCATGCGTAAACCCAGAACAAAATGCTAAAAAAAAAAGAGACAGAAAGAAAGAATAAGAAAGAGCCCTCTTGGAAACTGAAATTAAAGAATTCAACTGAGGAATTGTTTAAAAAAAAATCTAGAAGAGATAAACAATAGAGAAAAAAAGGACAAGATAACTGGGCAATCCATTCACGAAGTCCAATATCTAATTATTAGAGTTGCAGAGTCACAATACATTCCCAATAAAGTAAGACATACGTATGCTATCGCACTTGAATTGCCAACAAATCTTAGCAATTTCAAAAGTACTAATGAATGAGGGTAAACTCCAGATTCTCACATGTTTCAATAGAATAAAAATGTAGAAGAAAAAAATTTAACAGGAATGATAAATCCTGTTTGGATATGAATACTCATTTTTATTTTACAGGATTTTTGTTTTTCTAAAGACTTTCTTAGATGTCTGGAAACAGAAATCCTGATTGCAGGTTGTGGGGATGCTATAAATAGTTTATATTTTGATTACTTTTTGGTAGTGTTCCAAAACATCAAGCTACATCATGTTGAAAAATAAGCAAATAATGGAAATTATGATATACCTAATTGCAGATGAAATCCCCTCTTTTCTTAGATGCAAGTGAGATTTGTTGTCATTTTACCTTTTGCCCCTTTGATTTTGACCAATTTTTATGGACGTTAATGAGAGTTTAAAAACCAGACAAAAACATGGAGTCACGTCATGATAGATCAAAGCCCCTGGAGGAGGCGGAACGGCCCTTTAATTATTCTCTTACTGTTGCTGCATGGCCATGGATTAAATAAGATTAAAGAAAGCAAAGCTTACTTGGTAATTTATTTTCTTGACTTGTGACCCACTGTGAAAATAATATCAAAGAAAACCATCTTGCCTTTGTTCTCTTTGCCTGAGTTCAAATTACAAAACTTTGGACGAGGCTCTCACAACCTCTTCCTTGGTTAGCAAGGCCAGGCACTGGTTTGCTCAGACGACAGGCTAAGTGTTCTCTCTGTGTGGCAACAGGATGCAAAGACAGCCCCATTGTAATCCTCAGGCATGCTGCACCCTCAGGGGATCATTAGCTCACACGCTTCATTTGAAAATCTATTTTACCATTTAAAAATCATGTGCATCATCTTAGCTTTTGGCCTTAGCTCTTTATTTCTCAGTACACATGTCAAGATCCCCATGGGCGGTGGCTGGGGAATTTTGAAGCAAATGGAAAATTCATGTGAACTGGCTGTGCCCTGGTGATGAACTGTGCTGCTCCTTGACACCACCTCTTGCCCTGCTTGACCTCACAGGCTGCTTTCCCGGCCACTTGGCCCGGTCTCCCGCATTCCCCTATTTACCCTCACCATCTGTGGTCAGTCCACTCAGTCTGACGGCCTTCCCACACTGAGTTCTACCACCCTTGAGGTTCCCTTGACCATCAAGGTCACAGACTCAGTGCTGAGGAGGGCCATGCAGGTGTTCTGTGGGGTTTAGCACAGCAACCATGCCAAACTAGGCAGCCCACGCTTGGCTCCAGCCAGGGTAGCCACGCTGGGATGGAGGCTTACTCTTGCCAGGTCTTTTAATTTAAAAGCAATTGGAAATCAAGAAATTTTTGGTGAACTCTCTCCATTTTCCAATGGTGGATTAAATATTTTAAAATATTGTGGTCAAGTGAAACTGAACTGTCAGGTCAAATGTGGCCTTCAGGTTGCCAATCTGAAGATTCTGCTCTAGGTTTTAGAGGAACATCAGAACAAGGGGAGGGCGTCCATAGGTCCATAGTCCAATACATCCGGGAATGGCGCCTACTACACCCCTCTTAGATTTTTGCATTAGTACCTTACGGTCTTGAGATATTTAAAACACACACACACACCCCTCACCAAAATCTGTTTGTCTATTTAATTAAGTGTTCTCCAAGTTTATTTAACCATCTAATTCATCCTCACAGAATACCTTTTTGTCACTGGTATTTTTCTTAAAACTCTGACCTCAGAGTTAGACAAAGTTATAAAATACTCAATTAACTGTCAATTAAATATTAACTGTCAAATAAATATGTCAAAAGGAAGATTATGAAAACAATCCACTACAGAATGAAACAGAAAACAAATCAGTTGAGTTTAATCTACAAATGTAGCCAACTGGGTGGGAGCACCCACTTCTGTGAGGTCCAGGATGACTTAATAGTTTCTTAGTGATTAAATATCTTTTGACCTTGGGAAGATTTAGCATTGAAAACAGAAATGTTGGGCCGGTCCAGTGGCTCAGCAGTTAAATGTGCACTTTCTGCTTCTTGGCAGCCCCGGGGTTCGCTGGTTCAGATCCCGGGTTTGGACATGGCACTGCTTGGCAAAAGCTATGCTGTGGTAGGCGTCCCATGTATAAAATAGAGGAAGATGGGCATGGATGTTAGCTCAGGGCCAGTCTTCCTCAACAAAAAGAGGAAGATTGGCAGTAGTTAGCTCAGGGCTAATCTTCCCCCCAAAAAAACCCCAAAAACCATAAATGTTTAAGAGACTCAAATCCCATAGTATTACTATTTTTGTTTTGATGAGCCTGTGTGAAATTGGTATTTTATGTATTTGTAATGTGAAGAAAATTTGGCGTAATAAAGTAACAAAATAGTTTTGTGATTCAAATTTAAAATGAAGAATTGAATAATTGATTTAAACTTGTGGTTTTAAGTTGAAATTTTATTGTTCATAAATAGCATTGGAGTATATTTAAGAGAACTTAAAGTTTACCCTGTTGAAATGCTTAAATCATCGTATTTATAAGAATTACTAGTATTTTGGAAGTTTTTGTTAATCAAAGTGCTTCAAAAGGAAATGAAATAAATTATAAATGCAGTTTAAAGTGATTAAAAGGATTTTAAGTTTTAAATGAGATCAAACAATAATCTTTAAAATTGTTAGATGCAGTATGTCTGGAATTTGCTTCGAAATAATCAGGAGTGGCAATTTAAAAGTGGAAATGATGAGAATTTAAATTTAATGAGCACATGGAGGTTTTAATGTTCTTTGCACCATTTTTGTATATGTTTAAAATTTTCTATAATGCAATTTAAAAAAATGATTGTTAAAATTTACTAGATCCAAAAATAGAATACTTGTAATTTTAAAGTGCTAGGCATTTTACAACAGACAGCAGTGCCTGATGAATGAATGAATGAATAACATGACATGACATGACAACCCTGTGAAGTAAGGTATTGTCATTCTCTTTTCACAGATTAAAACAAAAAACAAAACTGAGGCCGACTGAAATTCAGGAAGTTGCCCTTGATGTCTTGACAGCTCCATCAGGGTGGAGACTGTAAGGAAATCTTACACACGTGAAACCAGGAGTTTCAAACACATGAGGAAGAGAATGGACTTACGTTCCAGTGGAGACCTGGCGGAAACTCAGGCCCTTCTCCATAAATTTTTTAATCTCATTTATACTTCATTTCCAAAACACAATCTTCCCATCACCTCTGAGGGAGTATGCCGGCCTCCAAACAAATAAGAAATGGCATTAAGATACAGAACAGAATCACGCATTGAATCACAAGCAGGTGGCCCCGAGCAGAAAAACAAAATGTATTCTTCAGCTCCTCAGAAATAACTAATTTAGGAAACACAGTGTGGGAACACTCTTGCTTATTTGCAGCTCTTGGTTTATTTTTAGGGGATTAAAAATATTTGCAAGTCAAAGCACAAACTGCTCTTTCACTGCCTTGAACTTTCTCTAGCTCTAACGTAGTGAGTTCACCACGAAGGAGGGAATATCGGAGTGATGGCCTTAGGGGGTGTTAGGAAAAAAACGTTCTCCTTTTCTATTTGAGCAGAACTCAAGAGTCTCATGGCAGGAGGCTGGAGGGCTGAGGTCATGAAGAGGAAAACAGTGTTACAGACAAAAAGCTCGTACTTTTATCATCATAAACACTTCAAGTGGATTCGAAACCTTGATTAAGAACCTCTCACACCTGATAAGGTCCCGTCACACAATATAAGCAACACATCTGAGAATTCTTAAAATGTTTACCCAGTGGTGGAGGCACGTGAGGGCTGCTGGCAGGGGACAGGAGAGGAGTTCTTAAAGACAAAAAAAGCAAGAAGGGTCAGCGTGCAAGAGCAATTTGAGCTAACAGAATAGAGAATTTTTTTTAAAAAAAGATCTTTGTAGATATGGAAATTTAATATGTTACTAGAGATGGCATTTCAAACTAATGGAAAAGAGAAATGATTCAGGGGCCGGCCCAGTGGCGCAGCGGTTAAGTTCGAAAGTTCTGCTTCTCAGCGGCCCGGGATTTGCCGGTTCGGATCCCAGGTGCGGTCACGGTACCGCTTGGCACGCCATGCTGTGGTAGGTGTCCCACATGTAAAGCAGAGGAAGATGGGCACGGATGTTAGCTCAGGGCCAGGCTTCCTCAGCAAAAAAGAGGAGGACTGGCAGTAGTTAGCTCAGGGCTAATCTTCCTCAAAAAAAAAAAAAAAAGAAAGAAAGAAAGAAAGAGAGAAATGATTCAATATGACAAATAAAAATGGCAAGTAATAGGATATATTGGAATATATGAGGAAGCCATTTGGTGTAAACCTAATTCGGCCTGACCTTGTCTTTCCAAAAGGGCCTGACCAAGGCCGTTGAGCATGCATTGTATATCTGCTTTAGAGATTCCCTATGGCAAGAGCAAAAGGCCCTTGAGATAAAGGTGCAACTTCCCTCCCCGTCCCAACGTTGGCCTCTTTAAGGATTAAGCATCTTTCTTTAGGCTAGAAACTGATTGCTGCACTCACCTGTGACTGCCCAGCTTGAGACAATAGACTTGCCTCCTGCTACGCCCACCGAGATAGCAGACCACTACCTGCTGTGTCCATCAAGTGCTGTGCCGACAGGGCAATCTTGTGACTATTGTGGGAGGGACATTTCAATCATATGTGAAACACCCTCTTTGAGGGTATATAACCACCCTTATACCCCCACTTCTTTGGAGTGCTCTGTTCCTTTGTGGAAAGACTCTCCCGGGTTATAATCCTAAAATTTAAGCTCAGAATAAACTCACCCAAATTTTCATTTATAGATTGGTTATGGATTATTTTCGTCGACAAATATGTGATGCTTGCAGGAACTCAAGCAGGAGGTGGCATTGGTAGGCTTTAGCTCTCCCACCACCTCAAATTCTCCTTCAGACTCTCCCATGCTTTAATGCAGATTCTTCCTATTTTCTTAAATTCAGGTAAAGTGCCATGCAAACACAGAGGCTCATGCCTTTTCTAGTAATATGACTATCCTAAGACCCATCCATATAGGAATTCTGGAGTCACTCTTGGGCTGTGGGTGTTGGGAAAGACCACGTGTTTATTTGCATATTCATAGAAAAAGGTCTGGAAGAATACACATTGAACTAGTGGATGACAACTAGGGTGGGGAGTGGGTGGGTCAGAACTGGGAGCAGTGAAAGGGGGTATATGGTGAGGCTTAGTTACCCTCCCGCAGTCTGTTCCTTCTTTCTTCTTTAGCAGCGGTTTTCAGCCTAGACCTGCATTAAAATCACCACGGAGCTATTTTAAAATGCAGAAATCCAGGCCTTGCCCCCAGAGATTCTGATTTAATTTGTCTTGGGAGAGGTCATGCTTTTTTGTCTGTCTGTTTATTTGTTTTTCAAGGCACTGGAAATGAGAAGAAATATTTGCCTTTCTTTTTTTGTTGTTTTTTGGTGAGGAAGATTGCCCCTGAGCTAACATCCGTGCCCATCTTCCTCTCTTTTGTATGTGGGACACGACCTCATCATGGCTTGATGGGTGGCGGGTAGGTCGGAGCCTGGGATCCCGAACCTGTAAACCCCGGGCCATGGAAGCAGAGCACGTGAACTTAACCACTATACCACTATGCCACCGGACTAGCCCCTTGTCTGTTTGTTTTTAAGTTTCCCAGGTGATTCTGTTGTATGGCCGGATTTGAAAACCACTATTCTATAACACGGAAGTTTTAGATAAGCACACTGCTATCCAACTGATGTGCTTCCAGTCTCCCCTCTAGTTAGGTTTGGCCACGGGTCTGAGTTCTAGTCACTGGCTGTGAGCAAAAGTGATGAATGCAGCTTCAAAGTTGTGCCCTTAAAAGGAAAGCAACATGCTCTCCTCCCCTTCTTTCTGTCCTTCTTCTTGCTGGTTGGAATATAGACATGGTGGTGTAAATGGAAAAAACCATCTTAGACCAAGATAGAAGCCATGAATAGCAGGGCCACAAGAGAGGAGGAATCAGGGTCCCCATCACTGCAGGGTCACCGTGAGCCCTGGATTGCCTATGTGTAGACTACGATGTGAGAGAAATAAGATTGTACCTTCTTAAGGCCACTGTTGTTTTGACTTTTGTTACAACAACCTAATAGTTATACAATCTAATATTATACAATGCTTATAATGTTTACACAATGAGTTTGTTTCATTTCATACCTCAGATGTTTCTATATTGTTTGAAAGTCTTATAACATGTCTAATTACTTCAAAATTAAAAATGGATAGGGGCCAGCCAGGTGGCGCAGCAGTTAAGTGCCCACTTTCCACTTCAGCAGCCCGGGGTTCACTGGTTTGGATCCCGGGTGCGGACATGGCACCACTTGGCAAGCCATGCTGTGGCAGGCATCTCACATATAAAGTGAAGGAAGATGGGCATGGTTGTTAGCTCAGGGCCAGTCTTCCTCAGCAAAGAGGAGGATTGGCAGCAGTTAGCTCAGGGCTAATCTTCCTCAAAAAAAAAGGATAGCTAGATAAGAAGAAAGTGCGTGGGTTAAAGGTAGAATAACAATTGCAGAGACTTCAGACTTATATCTCAAAATATTTCAAATTATTTATACCTTCATACAAAGCAAATTCACAAATAGTTATTGAGGACGGTCATATGAAAGAAACTAAGGTGATACAAACAAATATGTCATTGTTTTGAAAAGTACTATATTTACTTATGAGTAAGAAATTAATTTCAACAAAACAATGCCATCTATACTTTTCAAGTAATATTTTTAATCTGAATTTCATTGGTTTGAAGTTTTGTTTGTTTTTAACTCTGTAAAATGTGGTTTGCTTTATCGTTGTATACAAGCTGTAAGAAAAAAGAATTTAAATGGAGTTTTATATTTGTACATTTTTCAGTATCTTTTTTTTTTAAAGATTTTTTTTTTCCTTTTTCTCCCCAAAGCCCCCCGGTACATAGTTGTATATTCTTCGTTGTGGGTCCTTCTAGTTGTGGCATGTGGGACGCCGCCTCAGCGTGGTTTGATGAGCAGTGCCATGTCCGCGCCCAGGATTCGAACCAACGAAACACTGGGCCGCCTGCAGCGGAGCGCGCGAACTTAACCACTCGGCCACGGGGCCAGCCCCTTTCAGTATCTTTAATGTAGAATTTTTATTTATATTTATCTATAATAAAATAATTTAAGTCCCATCCATCCAGGGAGGTGTGAGAATTTTATTCCATTAAAAGTTACTGGTACATGACACAAGTTTGAGAAACTCTGCTTTTGAGGAAGATTCTTCCAAATCAAACAACCAAATAGGGTCTTGGAATAAGCACTGACTTAGGGTCAAATGAGGTTAGGGTCTTGACTTTCCCACTAAATGCCTGTGTGACCTTAAGCAAGTCCCTTCCCTTCTCTGGGCTTCAGTGTCTTTACTGGCAAGTGAGAGTGTTGGACCCTACGATGTCTACAGATCATTCCAGCCCTGACTTTCTGAGATTCTGGATTTTAACAATAGAGAGTGCATTCCAAAACATTTGTGAAAAAAAAAACCCTCCTGAAGTCCAAGTGTCACATTGCCCCCTTCTGGACCTTTGTAGTATTCACATGGATGAGATGATTAAAAACCCATAAGCCTCCATGGACAAGCTGAGATATTATAGCCCAATTCCTTTCCCCGCTTCACAAGTAATTTATAAAGCCAGATTTGAAGGTTTTCTAACATAAGTATTGGAAGACAGCCCGGGAAAGGAGAAACGGCAAAGGGCATCAAAGGAGTAGGTGCTGACATGGGGCTAGGGCTGGACTCAGGAGAGGTTGAAGTTTTATCTCCACCTATTCCCCCAATACAATAAATATTATTAGGTGCCATTTATCAAGTGCCCATATGTGCCAGGAACCAATTTTTTTTTAATCCTTCTGACAACTCTTCCAGCCAGGCCTAGAATATCTGTGTCCTGAGTGGCTCCTGTTTATTCCCACAACTTTGCCCCTTTTCCTCTCTATCTTCTCCATCCTATGAAGACGGCTTCTTTCCCATTTTCTTCTAGAAGCATCCTTTGACTCCCTCTGACCACACTGCTACCATCCTGTGGCACCTGAGATCTGTATCCCATGATCTGGTCCTTGACTTCCTATTTTTCCTATCTCATTTCTGTGAGTCAGCCTCCTCAAGCTCTCCCTGAGAGCAGGTCCATGTACAGGGCATCATGCCCGTTCTCTTACATTCCCGCATCACCTAGAATAGGGCTGCTCACATTGGGCTTAACAATGTCAACTCTCAAGGTGACTTTGTCCTCACCTTGTTCCTCTTTAGGGGAACTTACCTGTACCTTGGATAGTAATCTCTCATATTTACCCTAAAGTAGAAAAACAAAGCTGCTGATTTTCTTTCCAGATTTGTTCCTCTTACATCTTGATAAATGGCAACATATCCTTCCAGCTGAAGCCTAAAACCTTGACTCCTCTTTTTTATCTTATATCTCACGTTCAGTCTGTCAGCAAATCCTATTGGATCTACCTTCAACATGTATCCAGAACACAACCTCTTTATGCCATTATTATTCAATCACAGTCGTTCCATCGAGTCCAAGCCACCATCAGGTTTTGACTGGATTATGGTTAACAGTCTCTAGAGCTGGTTTCAGAGCTTCTGTCCTGCCCCCCACAACTCCCAACATGGTCTGTTTCAAACAGAGGAAGATCCTTCTAAAAGGTGTCAGATCATGTCACTTTTCTACTCAACTCTTTGATGGCTTCCCATCTCAATCAAAGTAAAAGCCAAAACCCTTAAAATGGCCTTCAAGGCTCTGTCCAATGTGGTCCGCTTCCTCTTTGATGTCATCTCCTCCAATCTCCCCCTCAGTCACTCCACTGCCGCCACACTGGTCTCCTCGCTCTTCCTTGGGGGCACCAGGCTTGCTTCTACCTGATGCAAACTCCTTCTGATCCCTTAAGGATAATTTTAAGTGTTACCTCTTTCAAGAAGCTTCCCCACCCACCCACCATAAACCAGGCGGAATTCTCTTTTGTACTTCCAACA